GAAGTGAGTGAGAGAGAGAGAAGAAAGAGTGTGTGTGTGTGTATGTGTGTCACCTGTCAAGCTGAAGTCATGTGTGTCTGTGTGTGTGTGTGTGTGTGTGTGTGTGTGTGTGTGTGTGTGTGTTTGTGTGTGTGTGTGTGTGTGTGTTTGTGTGAAGTCAGGTGTGTGTGTGTGTGTGTGTGTGTGTGTGTGTGTGTGTGTGTGTGTGTGTGTGTGTGTGTGTGTTTTTAAACAGACCTGTGATGCCGTTGTGTTTGTGCATTTGCAATTGTGAGTGTTTGTGTGAGTGTGTGTTTGTGTGGTTTGTTTGTATGTGTGTGTGTGTATATATGTGTTCTTTTATATGTGTGTTTCTTTGCATGCGTGTGTGCATGTGTGCCTTTGTTTTTCATTTGTGTTTGTTTGCTTGTGTGAGTGTGTGTTTGTATGTGCGTCTGAGCGTGCATGCATGCGTGTGTGATTGTGTTCTGCATTTTTGCTTGCATATTTGTGTGCATGTGTGTTTGTGTGCTTTTGTTTTTTCATGTGTGTGTTGGTTTGTGTGTTTGTTTGTTTGTGTGAGTGTGTATGTGTGTGTGCGTCTGAGCAAGCATGCATGAGTGTGTGTGTGTGTGTGTGTGTGTGTGTGTGTGTGTGTGTGTGTGTGTGTGTGTGTGTGTGTGTGTGTGTGTGTGTGTGTGTGTGTGTGTGTGTTTTTAAACAGACCTGTGATGCCGTTGTGTTTGTGCATTTGCAATTGTGAGTGTTTGTGTGAGTGTGTGTTTGTGTGGTTTGTTTGTATTCATATGTGTGTGTGTGTGTGTGTGTGTGTGTGTGTGTGTGTGTGTGTGTGTGTGTGTGTTTGTAGACAGACCTGTGATGCCGTTGGGCAGCTGCTGGAGGTCACAGTACCACAGACGATTGACCGGCTCACAGCCTTCAGTGATGGAGAGCACAGCGTACCGGCCGTCATCAGAGACCTACACACACACACACACACAAAGCAGGAGAAAAGCAGAAGCACTCAGCAGAAAGGAGAAGGCTTAATTTAGCTGAGTTACTTTCTTCAACATGTTTCTAATATTCTCCGTGTTGTGTGACGTGTCCAGCGCCGCTTGTGTGTCTGCTCTTACCGTCAGGCTGCTGTGCCATTTGGGGTTGTCAGGAAACTCTGCCACCAGGACGTCCTCTGATTGGCTGCTTCCGATCACATGGTAGAAGAGCTTCTGGTTGAGGTTTGTCGTGGTCTCAGTGCCTGGAATGGACAAACGCATAATTTAGATTATATGAATGTCCATCAGCCAATCAGAATCAAGCACTCAGCAGCCCTGCAGAAGAAAAGGCTTTATTAGTGTGCAGTAGTTAATCGTACCGTCGGCTTTTCCGTCCTGGCGCGGGTAGCAGTTGTAGAAGATGCCCTTAGCGTCGTGTGTCCAGGTCAGACAGCTGAACTTCACTCTCTCCAGCACATCCGGCAGTTCACTGAGATCATCTGCCTTCAGAAAACGCACCGTGACCCAGTCAGATCCAGCGCTGCTCAGGCCGTACGCGAAATACTCACAGTCCTCCGACAGGCGACCCACTGAAAACACAGGCAGGGCTAGTATTTAATTCATTCATTTTCTTTTCGGTTCAGTCCTTTTAATAATCAGGGGTCGACACAACGGAATGAACCTACAACTAATCCACCATATGTTTTATGCAGCAGATGCCTTTCCAGATGCAACCCATCACTGGGAAACACCCATTATTATCATTATTTGTATTTTTGTTATTATTATTATTATTATTATTATTATTATTATTATTATCATCATCATTATTATTATAAGTATTATTATTATTATTATTATTAGTATTATTATTATTATAAGTATTATTTGTATTATTATTATTATTATTATTAATTTTTATAAGTATTATTATTATTATTATAAGTATTATTTTTATTATTATTATTATTATTATTATTATTATTATTATAAGTATTATTATTATTATTATTATTATTATTATTATT